GCATTTCTGTCTAATGTACTAAGGAAACTTTAATGGCATTATGAAATCACTGACTTTCTCAGACAGCACTTCGCAGATGGACTGTATTTTTATTAGCAATGCTTACTTGAGGTTTTTCTATTCAAAGCTTGTAAACATTCTGCAATGCTTGGTATGTCTTTGGGAATCCATAAAGGGACACATCAAGACACTATGCACCTTATCCAATCTAACACATCACTGTCAACATCACTGGCAGAGCTGTTCTGCTATGTCGGGAGAATACGGTATTTCATTATAATAATCATCGCCTTGCTTATATGCTCTAATCAATTATGGCAGATTTATGACAGAAAGAATCATTCTGAAATCAGTAAATAACAACTAATGAAAGGTTAATACAGGCCTGGTTAATAGGAAATAGAGAAAATAGTTTGCTACTAAGACTGAATGTAAACCACATTCAGAGCAAGGAGCTACAGGGGGAAATCAAAGTCTAAAGTAAGGCTGGGTATGGCAGCCCACACCTTTAATCCCAGCACTTAGGAGGCAGAGGCAGGAGAATCTCTCTCAGTTCTAGGCCAGTCAGTGTTACATAGTAATACTCTGTCTCTAAAGAAGAAAAAGAAAAGTCTGGACTAGGCTTACTAAACTATTTTTAAAAAACTATTACACATAGCCTCCCTCAGTGATGAACTGTAACCCAGATGTAAGCCAAATAAACCCTTTCCTCCTCAAGTTAGTATTGGTCAGAGTGTTTTGTCACAGCAATTGAAGGCAAACTAGAATAGAAAATCTTAACACTGGTTTTGGAAAATGTGTGCAGCTACAATCCCTGGTTGCTAAGGAATAGTCAAAGTTCTATATGAACTCTGGGTCTAAACTGCAAAGTCTTGTACAAAGAGTCTTCATATATCGGTCATTACTTTTCTCTTTTTCTTTTTCTCTCTTTTTCCCAGTTCAAACCTTCATGGAATATCTACTCTTAATTTGAAATAAATACAAAGTCAAATCTTAAAAAAAAAAAAAAAATTGTACTACCGAACTTCAACACCACTGTGAAATTTATCACTGTTGCAGTAATGTGAGTTTGGCATTCACCTCCTTTCCAAAGTCTCCAACCTATACAAACATTTTCAATGTAATCATGTTATTTTTTTTTTAAAAGAAAGCAATACTAATAAAATATTAAAAAAACCAAAACCAAACAAACAAACAAAAAACTATTACACAGCCAGGCACGGGTCTCCCTGTAGCCCCAGCTGACCTGGAACTCATTATGTAGACCAGGCTGGCCTTTAACTCACAGAGATCTGCCTGCCTCTGCTTCCTGAGTGCTGGGATTAAAGGTGTGTGCCACAGCACCCGGCTTAAATACCTATTTTTTAAAATATTTTATTTTTCATGAGTATGAGTATACTGTCTGAATGTGTGTAAGTGCACCTGCATCATGCAATGCCCAACGGAGGTCAGAAGAAGGTGTAGGATACCCTGGAATAGACTTAGAGATGGTTGTTAGTCACCATGTGGGTTCTGGGAATTGAACCTAGGTCCTCTGCAAGAGCAGTCAGTGCTCTTAACCACTAAGCCATCTCTCCAGCCCCCCAAATACTTATTTTTATTTTTTTTAAGACAACACATCAAACTGACAGGGTGCAAAATTATGTCCTAAAAGTTTTTTTAAATCTATCAAACATTTTGATTTGGAATTTTGAGGAAATTAATTTTTAGTATAAAAACTTGCATAGGTGAAACTTTAAATGACTGAAAACATTTATATATATTTTCATGTTCAGAATATTAAAACAATTGTGTGTACATGCATGTGCAGGAGCATATGCATATATGCAGAAACATGTGGAAGCCAGAGCTCAATGTTCTTTCTTTTTTATTTTTATTTTTAAAAATTTTATTTAAGGCGGGCATGGTGGCACACGTCTTTAATCCTAGCACTTGGGAGGCAGAGGCAGGTGGATCTCTGTGAGTTAAAGGCCAGCCTGGTCTACATAGTGAGTTCCAGGTCAGTTGGGGCTACAGGGAGACCCTGTCTCAAAAAACAAAACAAAAAACCCAAAATTTTATTTATTATTTTTATTTTATGTGTATGAGTGTATTTTCTATATGTGTTTAAGTATACCTGTATTGGCCAGTGCCGGAGGAGGTCAGAAGAGGGCATCAGATCCCCTGGAACTGGAGTTACAGATGGTTGTTAGCCACTATGTGGGTGCTGGGGAATTGAACCTGGATCATTTACAAGAGCAGTCAGTGCTCTTAATCACCAAGCCATCTCTCCAGATCCCTTTTTCTATTTTTTGGTATGAGTGTATTGCCTGCATGTATGCAAGTGCACCTGTGTTATGCAATGCCTGCAGAGGTCAGAAGAGGGCATCAGATTTCCCTGGAATTGGAGTTACAAATGGTTGTTAGCTGCCATGCAAGTGCTGGGACTCAAACCCAGGTCCTCTGCAAGAACAGTCAGTGCTCTTAACCACTGAGCTATCTTCTCCAGCCTTTCAATGTTTGTTCTTTCTTTAAAAAAGTTTTATTTTATTTGTATTTTATGTGTATAGTGTTTTGTCTGCATGTATAAGTGCACCATGTGCACGGAGTGCCCACAGAGGCTAGAAGAGGGTGTTGAATCCCCTGGAATGAGGGTTGAAGACAGTTATTAGTTGCCATGTGGGTGCTGGGAACCAAACCAGGGTCTTCTGCAGAGCAGCCAGTGCTCTTAACCACTAAGCCATCTCTCTAGTTCCTTTGCTGTCATTCTTTAGGACTTCATGGGTTTTTTTTTCAACTTTTTAAAAATTTATTTTTACTTTATGCATATGAGTGTTTTGCCTTCATGTATGTAAGTGCACCTGTGTCTTGCAAAGCTGTCAGAGGAAAGAAGATGGCATTGGATTCCCTGGAACTGGAGTTACAGATAGTTGGTAGCTGCCACCTGGCTGCTGGGAATTGAACCTGGGTCCTCTGCAAAAGCAGCCAGTGTGCTTAATTGCTGAGCCATCTCTCTAGCCCCAGGACTTTGATTTTAGAGAAGGAATCTCTCATGGGAACCTAGGGCTTATTGATTCTGCTAGGATGGCTAGACAATGAACCTGAGGGATCCTGTCTCTTGCTTTCCCAGCACTGGGATTACAAGCACACATCACTATGTGTGGCTCTTTTACATGGGTTCTGGGGATCTAACTCAGACAAACATGCTTCCATGGCAAGCACTTTATAGACTGGGCTATCTCCCCATCCCACATTAAAAAAAAAAAATTACCGTTATTTAGTATATGTGTACACATACATCCCAGGATTCTAGTGTCGAAGTCAGAGGACAACTTGTGGGAAGTCTGTTCTCTCCTTTCACCACAGAGGTCTCAGGGATTGAACTCTGGTTGCCAGCTTTGGTGGCAAGCACCTTTACGGGCTGAGCCATCTTACTGGCTCCACGTTTGGTTTTTAAACTGAACACTCTCCTGAACACATCTTGCTCTGCAGAACAACTGCCAGTTCAGGAAATTACATAGCAAAACAAATTAGACCCCCCCAAAAAACCAACCCTTGAAAACCTGTTTTCTACACAACTCACTTCGACATTGACTAGAATATGGTAAAATAACAAAAACAAACTTCTTAGAAATCAACTATTATGTACCTTTCCTATCCCGAAATCATTCTTTCCTGAAAGAACTCTTAAATAATATGCCATCTTCTTTCTCTAAGAAGCAGCAGCTTTGTTTCTGGTTTATTAAGCTCTATGATAAGGATACCATGCATTTGTATCACTTTGTTACTTAATACATCTGCCATTAGCAATTTAAATAACAATTCTACCAGAAATTCATATACCTTTCCTTTAAGAGCTTAAAGATTATTATTTAATCAATGCCCATAGCTTCAGTAGATAGTACACAGTACTGAGTATGCACACTGTTTTTTTTTAAAGTTCTATGGCTTAGTGAGAAGACTGAGCAGGTAAGGACACTTGCTGCCAAAACTGATGACCTAAGTTCCACCCTGAACCCACATGGTGGAAGGATGGAATGGAGTCCCATAAGTTGTCCTCTAATCTCCACACATACGATATGGCAGGTAGTGCCTCCGTGCCACCCAAAATAAACAAATAAATGTAATTTTAAAGTTATGAATCATAATATTTTAAGTTGCTGTACAACATAGTTCTGACTCAATATCATAAAAGACTCATAAACTCAGTTAATTATCTGCCAATTAACCTGGGTTCATACTGAAGTCAGTGTTTCCTAACAGTCAATTGGAAGATGGATATTATGCAGATAAAAACATGGTCTTGACTGTATCTTGATTTTGCCAACAAGAACCACATGAAGTTTTGAATCTTGACAAGATATTACTTCTATCATGAAAAGAGAATCAAAACCTGGAAAGTAAAGCCACTTACTAATATTTTTTTCAAAAAATAACATATTTTATGTTCTCAAAAAAAAAAAAAAAAAAAGAAAATGAGAGGCGGGGGGAAAAAAAAAAAATTCCAGGAAGTTCATAAGCAGGATTTAAATTAATCAGTTTCTAACAACTGTTAAGTGCAACCTTTTAGAAATTAATTTGCATAATGATAATCTACATGTGATAGGGTTGAAATTATTTAAGCGACATTCTAGTTCACTGTCTTGCGCCACCACTGCTGTAGCAGTGAATCCTTATGAAATGTAATGCAGCTAATGAGGTAGCTTTTTAACTGAACAAACTGACAGGTCCCATATCTGCAGCGGCAGCTTGAAACTGTGCCCAACCTCTTGGCTTCCCAAGAGGCTTTTCAAAATTCAATAAATAACATCTGTAGGCGATGTTGGGTGCAGACCTAGCAGAGTGCGTCATAACACTGTGCTGGCAGAACAAAGAAACCATGACGACTGCCAAGTTTCCATGGCAACTGCGGCGAGGCTCTGAGAGTATAATAGCACATCAATCACTGTCCAAAAGAACTTCATTATCAGCTAGAAAAAACCTTTAGGATCTGTTTAGTGTGCAATTGTGGGTTAACTCACCTCAAAGCCCTGCTCTCTAGCAAAAGTGGCAGCTTCCTGGAAAAAAAAAAAAAAAAAAAGAGAAAAAGAGCAGTTAATTATAAAGTGCTAGGTAATGAAGAAATAATTCATTTTGAAACTCATTCAAAGTCTTCTTTTACACAATTATCTCAATATACTCACACAGTTTCATTTTTATTTTTATGCCAAAAATATTCCTCTTTGTCTTGGCGGGAAAAAAAGGAGGGCAGCATAATGTCAATGTGCCTCACAGAGTAGGATAAAGAAGATGTAGTGCATGTTTATACTGTAGCTGCCATAGTGAGTTCAGGTGTTCTGACCTTAGCAAAGAAAGACAATCACTTGAACCTAAAGAACATGCTGGTGGCTATAATTCTAATTAAAATAATACTTCTCAGAAAGCCCTCCTGGAGACAGGAATGCCTGCTACTAGATATATAGATTCAGGAAAAGAAAACGGCTTTGCAGTCCTCATGATGAAATTTATACAGACACATCAGTGGTTGTTAAATTCATTGGGTAAAAAAGATGACAGGGAGCTGGTTCTTCCCATGGAATCAAAGCAGCAAAGATTACATGCTGGTCACAGGGAGCAAAGCCTAACTCTACAATGGAAGGATCAAGCTGTCATCATTTTAACCTGGTGATCAATTCTATCAGTTATCATCGCTCCTACAGGGATCACCAAATATTTGGCGCCTTCTGTAATGACACAGTGTGAAGTTCACAGTATCACACATGAAGAATTTTGGCCAAAATACTTCAACGTGAATCAATCAAAACTTTAGTTCAATAACTTGTATTCATAAGAAATACACTGGAAAGATGAACAAATCAAAGGATATAGTGATAAAGAAAATGAACAGGTCTATGAGGTAGGTCTAATAGGCTAACTAGTTTTGTCTGATTTAACTGGTGAAAGTCACAGATAAGTTGGGGAGAAGAAAATGATCAAGAGCAATGCAGGTACCTTAACTGGATCTTTTAATAAACAAACCAGCTCTAAAGGACACGTCTGTTTAAACTGAGAGATTTGAATATAATTTGAGAATTAGAAAAGATTTGGAACCATCAGTTTAATATTAGGAATTAGCAGTCTGACGAGGAAAATGCCTTTAAATTTTAAAAGCGTCTAAGGGTAAAATGTTATAGAATATGTAATCTAGAATACTTTGGGAAAAAAAACAAAGGTAAGTAAATTTGGCAAAATACTGACAACTGTGAAATCTAGATATGTGTGATCATGGGGGTTCAAGATGCATGTGATCAGGTGTATGATCTAGACACACAGGGTTTCAATATTTCTATATATCTTAGATTTTCCATATTAAACATTTTTTTGATTTGCTTTTTTTGTCTGAGACAGGGTCTCCCTGCAGCCCCAGCTGGCCTGGAACTCACAATGTAGACCAGGCTGGCCTCGATCTCACAGAGATCTGCCTGCCTCTGCCTTCTCGGTGCTGGGATTAAAGGCATGCACTATCATGTCCAGTCATAATAAACATACCTTAAAAGCACAATCTGATGAACATTATGAAATACTCTAATGTTTTTCTAACAAGCTATCAAATGACAATGAAACCCACCCCACTTCTGTGTAACCAAATCCTCTCCTTTTTACTGTCTGTGCATATATTTTAATTTTAGGACTGATAGAAAATGTAAGCGATATTACTTTTCATCTCTACTTCTCTCTTGAAAGCAAAAAAATTGCAGACAACTGTCAAGAGTCTGCATCTTAACTTACATTCCTCCAAAATTATCTTTGCCAAGAGATATTAATAGAAGGATGGGATTGGTGCCTGAGTAGTGAGCAGATCCAACTCAACTAAAACGACTGCTGCACCAAACCATGTAAGGCAGAAAGTACAGTCAACGCCTCAAGAATAAATGTGGGCACTACCTCCATACTGAGGAAAACACCAAGGAAAAAAAAATCTATGTATGCACTCACGGTCCAACATACTAAAAACATATACATTTAAAGAAGCATTTTGAGGGTATGAAAACATCAAAATGCATGATTAAAGCAGAATACTGACATTAACAGAAAGCAATAAAAGGAATGTACAACTCCTTAGGTGGTTGTCCACTAGAGAAACATAAGGCAGATCAGTTTGCCACAGCTCATCACACACACACACACACACACACACACACACACACACACACACACACACACAGAGTTATGCTTGACAAATGGCTCAAGCAAGGTTCCTTCTTGTCAACTTGCAATAGAGCTTTTGAAAAAATTTATCTTTATTTATTTTGTGTACATGTCCTTTTTCTGCATGTCTGTAAGAGCACCCATGTGTGGAATGCTCATGGAGGCGAGAAGAGGGCACTGGATCCCCTGGAACTGGAGTTACAGATGGTTGTTAGCCACCATGTTTAAGTGTTGGGAACTGAACCCAGGTCCTCTACAAGAGCAGTTAGTGCTCTTAACCATTGAGCCATCTGTCCAGCCCCATAATAGAACTTTTTACCTCACATAGTCAATAATATTTGCAGTGTGGAATATCAAGGCAAAGAAAAAGGCTAAAAAGATATCAATACAGTGTTTTCTAAGCTGTCATAATTAACCAAAGGAATTCTCTTGTGAAAAATACAATAGAAAAGCTCTGTTAAAAATTATTTTTGAAAATGGAACTTCGTAAGTGTGGTGGCTCACACCTATAATCCCAGCACTTGGAGGCTGGAGGATTGTTACAAGCTCAAGGTCAGTCTGGGCAAGAGTGAGTTACAGGACAGCTAGCATGGGCTACAGAGTGACATCCTTTAAAAAAAAAAAAAAGGAACTTTGTGGGGCATGGTAATGCACGCCTTTAATGCCAGCACTCTGGAGGCAGAGGCACGTGGATCTCTGTGAGTTCCAGGTCAGCCTGTCTCCATAGGGAATCTGTGGACACAAGGAGACCCTGTCTCAAGACCCCCCAAAAAGGAACTTCAAGGTCATGGAAAATAACACTAATAAATAAAAAAGAATCTGTAGAATGAAAATTGTACTATGCCATAAAGACTAAAAGTTCATAGTCATTAAATCAGGGGAGAGGTAGTGCTGAGGATTGAACTTGCTATACCAGCAGTTAAACACCAAACCTGCTATACTGTTTTAATGAAGCAGGCTCTTATGTGGCTCACTGGTCTTGAACTCTGGGTATTTTGTTTTTATTTATTTTATTAAATTTAATTTATTATTTTACATGTATGAGTGTACTGTCTGCATGTATGTGAGTGTACCCATGTTATGCAATGCCACAGAGGTCATAAGAGGGCTTTGGATTCCCCTGAAACTGTAGTTAAGGACGGTTCGTAGCCGCCATGTTGGATTTGGGAATTGAACCTGGGTCCTCTGCAAGAGCAGTCAGTGCTCTTAACCGCTGAGGCATCTCTCCAGCTCCCAGGTATTTTAACTATCAGCTGCACCCATGTAATAAGAAATTAACTACAACTTGGCATACTACAGAATAATGGCAAGAATGGATTATTTTATCTTCTTGAGACAGGGTCTCATTATGTAAGCCAAACTGGCCTAAAACTTGGTATATAGTCAGTCTAAGCTGGCCTGGAACTTTCCATCTTCCTGTCTTTATCTCCTAGGTAGCAGATTTTAGGTTTGTGCCACCATGCCTGGTCTCAAATCACCATTTTTTAAGTAAAGTGTTTCTTAGGCTATTTTCACATCTGTAGACATATTTCTAGCTTAGGAAGGACATACTTAAGAAAAGTCAACTCAATTTTCTATTTTTTAAAAAATATTTTATTTACTATTTTTATTTTACGTGTAGGAGTGTATTGCCTGCATGTATGTAAGTGCACCGTGGTGTTGTGCAATGCCGTGGAGGTCAGAAGAGGGCTTCATATTCCCCTGGAAATGGAGTTAAGGATGGTTCGTAGACACCATGTGGGAGCTGGGATTTGAACCCGGGTCCTCTGCAAGAGCAGTCAGTGCTCTTAACTGCTGAGCCATCTCTCCAGGCCCTCAATTTTCTACCTTATGCCTCCTCACACAGGTTTGCTGAGTTGTGCCTGCCATGGAAGACCGAAGTGCTTGTTCCATGGCTTAAAATGATCTTATCTTCTGACTTCCTCTCACCTGCTTTTGATCTTGGGCTGGTGCCCCAAGTCACACCATTAGAGAAGACGGCTGTCTCATATCACTGTGGACTTTGTCACAGCTAACCTCTGATCTGAAGGTACTTGCAGATACAATGATAAAACAACAGATATTGTTCCCTCTTAGGAAAACAAACCAAACAGAACAGTTTGACCCAGTAAGAATTTTAAGCAGAATTTTAGCACTCAGATACAGTGCATGAAAGGATAGAAAGAAAAGACAGTATGTCAGAAAACAGGGAAGAAAGGATGAACAGGGATGGTGTGCAGAAAAGTATGGCAGGTTCCAAATATCAGGGGTAACTCCAAGTGAACTGATCACACTAAACTGAAAAGGACTTCTTAGTCTGCTGTTGCAGTAAAAGTGAGAAAAGAAAACAAACAAGTCCCCATCTGTGCTGCCCCAGGGAGCCTCGGACTGGGTTTCACAAATCTAATGAAGCACTGCAGTTAAAATCCAACCACAGAGTGGCGGTGACATGTGGCGAACAGCTAGGGTTAGAACAGAGAAGCAGGGCGTTTCCGAAGGCAGGTGATTATCCACGTGATAATCATTGTATTTACAGGCCTTCCTTTTAGATCTGACATAAAAAAAATCACAAAGGAGGAGGGATTAAGGAAATAAACAACTGACACAGAGGCTTTCCTGCTCCCCTGAGAGTACAGCCCTTCCATTCACGCATGACAAGCAACAAAAGCAAAATTGAGCAGGCCACGGAAGAGCATTTCTGGGAAGGCTGCATTTCACATTAACACTTCTTTCCATTTTGATAACTTTCACTATTATGCAGTTTCTGAGACAGGTCACATTTTCAGAATCAGTTCCCATTGTTGTACACGCTATAATACAGTGTCATTTTTCGTTTACAATGAATGATACTCACATAATATGTCTTTTACAACAACAGAGCCATTTTTTC